TTTAGTCGACAAAAACTCAAAAAGGTTTTAGTCTAGTTTTAGTCAAAAAAAAGAAAAAAGAAGTATAGTCTTTTAACAAATTAATTTAGGTCAATAAGTATTGGAGATTGCTGCTGGGCAGTGTCACACATAAGTTGTGAGAATAGCAGCAGATCTATAAGTTCAACACATTGTGAGCTTGCAGATCAGCTATTTTCACCAATAATTACAATAATAAAGGAATGGTTTTAGACATATAAGGTTTCCACCCAACTGCAAATACTTTCTGATCTAATGATTGTGCATTACACACAGATAAAGTGGTAACAGTGGAATCAATGTTCATTACTCCAAAAAAGCCAAAAACAAAAACATTCTACTTCAGCAATTGTGGCTTTATTTCTCAGAATTTGCTAAAGTACAATGAACATACACATGCCCAAAATATGAGTGATGGATGAGGAACACATATGCTCAACTTGGCCTTGTCTGCCAGTGCAATTAAGATGCATATTATTTGTAAAAACAGACATCATACAACCCCACTCTATCTTTAACTTGTGCAAACAATGTAATAAAATAATTAAAGATTCCTGAGGTACAGTGAGGTAGGTTGTAAGTTATACCAGAGAGTTATACATACTGTACTTGAAAGTATGAAACAAACATGTTCTTAAGTTTTTGGAACAAAATAAATAAGACCACCCTGTAAATAGTGTAAACACTGTAGTAAATTCAACAAATAAAAACAACAACAACAACAGCAGAGGAGGGTACGTCTCACAACAAGAACAAACAGAATATCACAATCACATATCTGTAACTATACTAATAATAGTAACAGCTTGCTGTTAGCAAAATTAGCCTACTGACCTCGATTTAGTTTCAGAAAAGCGCTTCGCTCTAAAATGGCTCTTGCTCTGTTTCGACGGCCACGAGTGAGGTCACCTGTAATGCTAAACACTCTCTCAGCAAATGCTTGAGATGCTGGCATGGCCAGAAGATCTAAGGCGATAGGTTTTAGGCTTGGATAAACAGAATCTCCCTGTGCAGCCCAAAATTCAAGGGCAGCCTCTTCGTTTGTAGGCTGTGACAGCTGCTCCTTGAATTTCTTTATTTCCTCCTTGACACATGGCTTTGAGCAGCTAGACCTGGATGGCCGACTTGCTTTTGACAAGAATTTGAATCTGGGCTGCTTTCTTTGTGGTCCCTCTTTTGATTCCTTTTCTTCCTCCTCTGGCTCCTCATCTTCAACCTCCTCTTCCCGTACAACTGGTGGCACCAACTGAGCAATGTACTCTTCTGCTTTTTCCAGAAGCGCTGTAATTTGCTGATCATCATTTTCAAGGAGTGCTTCAGGTGAAACTGTTGGGTCGAGAAAGCATGCAGCAGCAGTGAGGGGTGAAAACTTAGAGTCAGTGTGATCAAGAAAGCAGCTGAACCGCTTGTCCATGTTTGCCTTCATCTTCTTTGCCAGGGAAGCTAGGTCCTTGAAGCTAGAACCCTGGGCATGGGGGAACTCAGACAGATGACCCTGCAGGTCCAGAAGGGCAGGCACAACAAGGGATAAAGACTGTGTGTCGCTCTGGAGCATCTGGGTATGCTCAGTGAAGGGGAGGAGTAAATCTCTTAGAGCAGTCAGCCTCTGCCACTCACTTGGCAGTAGATAGTCCCAGCTCATCCCATCCGCAACTTGAACTACTGAGTCCTTGATTTGAAGAAGCCGTGATATCATCAGATATGTGCTGGACCATCTAGTAGGGCAGTCTTTGACCAGAGTTAGTTGACACAGCTGCAGCAGTCGCTCAGTTGCCACCGATGACTTGCGGAAGAGCTTGACGAGCGCTCTAACTTTGCCCAGCAGTCGGCTGACACTTGCATCTTTCTGGATGATGTTCACCACGAGTTGCAGTGTGTGTACAACACAGGGAGTCCTATCTATGTGTCCAAACCTAGATAGATAAGACAAAAACACAGAGAAAAAGACACTTTATTAATCTTATATAGGAAATTTAGTAAAATTGCCATGAACAACACCATGCAATACAATAAACAATAGCTATAAGTGACTATAACCTAGCATAACTCAATGTGACTGACATTCTGAAATTGTTAACAGCAAACTGAAATAATTTACCATTGGTCTTCAACCACCTCAGAGTCTTCAGTGTCGCTTGTCTCGGAGGATTCTTCCTCGGAGCTGGCTGATGCATCCGATTCATTAGGTTTGAATGCTGCAATCATGTTGCTTCCGTTATCTGTTATGACTGTCAGAATTTTGTGTTGTGGTATTCCCCAGTCCTCTGTGCATCGATCAACACTGTTTTTTATACACTCTGCAGTGTGTGGGTGGGCGATCTGGTCAAGTCTCAACAATATGTGCTTTGCTTTGTTTTCCACAGTGCAAAAAAAGCATGCACTAATTCCCAGAAATGATGCTGTAAGTCGTTTTTTGGTCCATATGTCCAGCCCAATTGTTATTTTGCGTGCTGTGGCAAGCCTCTCTTTGTACTTTTGTTTTTCGTCATCAAACATCTTGTCAACTAAGTTGTTTATTTTTGTTCTTTTGGGTATGGTCAGCCTCTTATCAAAGGTCTCCATCATGAGGATGAAATCTTCATCCTCAACTGTGCAAGCAGGTAGACCAGTACGTCCAATCCAAAGAGCGATCGCCTGTTCTTTGGCACGTTGTTCCAGGGAGTCTGACTTATATTTGGATGCTGCGGCGAAGGCTGCTGGGATAGATGACTGTGCCCTGTTGTTCTTTGGACCACCAGGTTTCTCTTTAGGAGTTCTGGTCTCTGGGATCTGGTTGAGGAAAAAACAAAGAAGGGATACAATTACTCTATCTCTGTATACAACGTACATGTCCTGTAAAGGTTTACAGGTGAATACAAAACAATCAAATGTAGGTATACCATAAAAATACTTAAAATACTATGAAAAATACTCAAAATACTACCATGTTAAGAAAATAGAATGGTCTTAACTCTCANTTTCCCTATCTGTCATGGATTGTTTTATTTGTGCATTTCTTTATATAGAAGAGAACTTTTATAGACGTTTTTGTTTAATTTTCTCTCACTTATCAACTCAGTTATTTGGTATTGGTATATGAAAGGGATTCCAGGCTGAAACTAAACTTCAGACTAAAATTTGATCTTGCGAGCTTTGGCCTCTGTTAATAGAGGCTCTATATCCAATGATCTCCTGACTTCATATTCAATGGAAAGAACAGCAAGTGCAGTGAGCCTCTCTTGTGACATGGATGATCTGTAGTATGTTTTAATGAGCTTCAGGGATGAAAAACCTCTCTCACCGGAAGCTACAGTATTGTCACAGGGAGTCTTAGCGGTATGCTCAAATTAGGGTACATGCCAAGAATATCCTCCTTATATATATGCAATCAAACATCTCCAATGGTGATGAGATACGTGTGGGCAGTTGATTCAGTTTGCTCTCTTCCTTCGTACATATGTGTTACTATTCTTCTCTGATGTACCTCTGGCCAGGTCGGCTCCACCTCCAGCTTTTCTGCTATCTCTCTGGCATGGGTTATAGCAGAGGTGAGGCCATGATCTCGATACGTGTGCAGGAATTCTCTCACTCCCTTTAGTTTCTTTTGTCAGTGTTTCAACTGAAACTTTAGGGCGCTGCAGGATCTTGCTCTTTGTCTGGAACAGCACATTGTACCATATAATGGTACTTAGAATAAAAGGCCATGTTTGCATCTCTTGACAAATGCTTTCAGCTAATGAAAAAAAGATCTGCATCTTGTTTCTCTGCAGCATACTTCTTTAGAGAAGACAAAGCTTTCACTGTTTCCGGACAGCTTTAACACTGTCATCCATACACACCCACCTTGTTGCTGAAGGTGCTTTCACTGTAAGGTTTGTGACCGGTTCTGAAAGTATGGTCCAGCGGTGTACAGATGAGCTAGAGTGTATAGTTGCTGCAGCAGACCAAAGAAGCTGATAGATGTTGTGAATGACTTCGCTACAACAAGATTAAGTGTGTGACTTCCACAAGGAACACATAATGCCATGTTATTAATTTCCAGCACTCTCTTATGGAGTCCTTGCCCTGCACATTACTGCCATTATCATATGACTGGCCATGGCAGTTAGAAATATCCAAACTTAGTGTGGCCTAGTGACCTAAAAATGGCTCCCATAAGCCCTTCCCCGTGGTGTCAAGTTCACTGAGAAAACCAACAAAATAAATGGAGATACCTCTTGAGGTTTTACAATTTACAACTATTAACACCATTCACAGTTGCTCCTAATGACTTATATCACGAGTGCAGTCCATGATAACCGAGTAATATTTGACTTTCTTTACTGTCTCAGCAATGGCAGCAGTTGTGCTTTGGCTAAGAGAATTATACAATCATTTTGAATGTTCTTGATCAGGTAAGTGTCATTGACTCCTTTGTCTGGATTCTCCTCAAATGATGTCACATGACTGGGTCAAACTGAGCCATTAATTCAATTTGGCCAAGGAAATTTCCATTCCCGGATTCAAACAACTTGGTCACAGAAAGCAAGATTACATTCTAACAAATTGCTGACAATTGCGATCAGTCTTCGCAGATTCTCTTTCCGGTGATTTACATTGTAAATAGTGACATTAATTCCTGATTCACCTGATATATAGCTGTTCTCATTTTTAGCTTCTCCAAAAGTGTCACGATGCAGGGCGGAAGCAGGCGAATGAAGCCGTGAATAGGGGAACACAGGGTTTAATTCCACATAAGGCAGGCAACAATACATTGACACTACAATGTCCAGACTCCGGAAACAAACGGAAACGCGGACTAAATACAATGGACTAATTGACAACGATCAGGAATAGCTGGTAAACACAGGGAATCCATATGGGGTTTAACGAGTGGGGCGTGGCACACAAGAGGAGCGGACGATCGGGGCATGACAAAAAGACTGTGCCAGTGATCCATGTTTTTGGTGTGTTCAACATATCTTTCATGTTGCTTTAAATGGGATGACAGAAAAGCACACCACACAGTCGTTTTTTTCCACTGTAGACTAGCCATGTTCTGTTTATCTTTTCTCCATTTTTCATCTGCATTAAATAGTTACCATTGGCAAATCTGCAACCTTCATTATTTTTAGGAAAAATTCTGCCTTTGACTTGATTTTTTTTTTGACTGGTTCTCTTTTTAATAGCAAGCGCCACTCTTTATCTGACAGTTGTTTTGGCCAAAGAGCAGTGTCCCAGTACAACTGTCTCCTATTCACGAGAGACGCAGTCATTAACACTTTCAAATGTACTATCTTGACTGGCGCTGTAATCATCATGAAGAACAGTGGCATTGCCCTCATCAACACACACATCACATTCTGGGAGTAGGGGGGCTGACTCATTAGGGACAGCAGCAGCAGCACTAGTGCTCGCTTTGGCAGTAGCACATTCTGCTGGTGGAGAGGAAAACGCTGTTACCTTTCGGAGTTTTCTAACATATCTTTTGCTTTCTTCTCTTTTTTTTGGCGTTTCTCCACCCTGTTCAGGTAACTATGTTTCATTTTGTTTATTTGTTTCTATGCTACACTACATCTTGTATATCTTGGCTGCCTTCCTTGCCTAATGATAAAGTCCGCCTCTGGGTCAATTCGGCCATCAAGCACTTAAGTCAAAAAAACACTTAAAATGTTAAGTGCGTTTGAGCCTGGAGTTGAGTTAGCAGTGGGCATCGCGGTTCCCCTCCTCAGGGCTGTCTAATAAATGTTTACATGGGTTTCTAGTGGAACGTAAACCGCTTGCTCTCGGTGAATTTTATTACCAAGATTTATAAATACCGGAACTTTATTAAAAAATAACATTGTTTATGAAAATACCTTATATACAAAAGCCTGATCTCAACTCAGCTGCGATGTGAGAACTCAATGTGCATAGATTACGATGTTCATATTAATATTGCACAAGTCTCCTCCTGCATTCTAGAAATGCGTCCTCTTTTTGCACTTTCCCGGCCCAGCCTATCCCAAGATTCATTGCATATCATACATTACCCAGCCATCATAGTATTTAATGTGCTGTAATGTTGCACCAACTTGTTAATTGTCAGTATCTGACTGGTTTTTCTGGTTTGTCTCGTATTTAGAAAACACAATGTTTAATATCAGAATGGGAAACTGCTGTTCCTCTTCAGCAAGCATTACTTGTGCAATACCTCAGAGCTCTATTTTGGGCCCTGTTGTGTTCTCCTTGTACATGCTCCCCCTTGGGTCCATGTTTCAGAAGTATAGTACTGTATATTGTATCATTGTCATTAACTGTCAGTTAATGTACACAAATATGCAAAAAAATCTTGGTTTTATCTTTCATTCTGATCTTGAGTTTGATAAACAAATAAAAACTGTGGTTTTTGGTAGTTTCTTTCAACTTAGGAATATAGCGAAACTTTTATTTTATTTTGTGTTTTAAGGATTTGGTAACAGTCATTCACACTTTTGTCTCATCCTGTGTTGACTATTACAACCATCTCTAGTTGGGAACCTGTCAGACAAGCTTGTCATGCCTGAAGTTGCTCCAAAATACAGCTGCAAGACTCCTTACAAGTACCAAGAAAAGAAAGATCGTTACTCCCATATAGAGCATTACGCCCATACAGAGCATTACAAGGAAAATTCCAGATGCACAAAATTGTGCGTGAGCACAGATCTACGCACATTCCCTTTATAAATCCCAAATAGTGTGAAATTTTACGCACGTGAACGATCCCACAGCCACCCCCCTGACCCGTCCATAATTATGTATATTTGCATATGTAAATCTGTATAAATACCCGCTTTGTTCTGTGTTTTTCTTAAACAACAATGGATAAACCACGTGCGAAAAATAAGTATTTCAGTGAGTGCAAAGTGGAGGTCATGTTAACAGAAATCAAGCAAAGAAAAGTGATATTATTTGATGGCTTAAGTAGTGTCATCAGCAATAAATGAAAGTTGACGGAGTGGAGCAGCGTGGCTGAGTCAGTTAAAAGTGTTGGTTCCGAAAATTACACGGTGGCTGAAATTAAAAAGAAGTGGTTGAACATTAAAGTCGCCGTGAAAAAACGAGTGGCCGCTCACCGTAACAGTCTTAACGCACAGGTGGAGGTAGCGGAATTCCCAGTCTCACACTTTTATCGGGGGAGGGGGGCACCGATGTCAGCACGGGTGACTTTTTCTCATACCATGAATTACTTGCATGTTTATGAATAACAAGTAGGTCGCAGATGCGGTTTTACTTTTGTTTATTCTATTTGTTTATTCTTACAGACAATAGTACAAGAGGTGCCTCCAGTGCCAAGGACAACACAGGCAGTAATGGTGCTGCTGTGCCGAGCACATCTTTGGGCGCTGGCTGCACACATTCCCGAGCCTCAGAAACCGGGGGGCGACCATCCGGCCGTGTGCTGACTGAAGCTGTGTGAATGCTGTAAGATGTTGCCAATGAATTAAAACATCTAAATGATACGCTGTATGATTTTGAAGTTGTAACACTGTTTCATTTGGTGGAAAATTTGGTGGCTCAGAATCAGGTTCATCTTGCCTAAGCTCTTCAGGTACCAGCAAGCCACGATTTTGTGCCAGATTATGCAACACGCTACATGCGTGTACAATGCAACACACTTTTTGTGGACTGTATAGCAGCAACCCAGCAGTTTTGTCCAGGCAGCGCCAACGGCCTTTAAGCTGCCCTATAGTGCGCTCTGCCACCGGCCGAGCTCGAGGATGGGGGGCAGCATTATAACGCTGCTCCTCTTCATTCTGTGGGTTTGCGAACACCGTGAAAAGCCACGACTTCAGTGGGTACCCACTGTCCCCTAAGGAGTTGTCAAATGGTTAAATCAAACAAAGCTTACATTATTGGCCCAAATTATACAATGAGAAGA